TACAGGCAAGAGCCTCTCAAACGTTAACAGCTTGTGCGCATGACTTGTGTTCTTTGTCCCTGGTTCTGCACTTGGTGTGTGGGGGTTGCTGCTAAATCTCATACCGATGTCTTCCCACAGCGGGCGTCTGCGTTGTATTTGAGTGCTCTTAAGAATATGGGCTGCAGTGTGGGGTGTGGTGTGTTACAGGCTGGTGTAGTCTGTGGGACTACTTCTGAATTCCCAGCTGAAATGTAGAAAAATACAGTTGTGTAAAAATTGTGGGCTTCTTAGGGAACTTTTTTTTTTTGTGGACCAGATGTAAAGAGAAAGAGAATGCGGCCTTAGTATTCAGCACACCTGTGCCAGAGTGTGCTGATCACTTGGGAACAATATACAGCTAAGTCTGGCCTATGAATTAAGTTGCTTTCCTGTGATAATGAGTAAGAGGCTCTGGAGACAGCAAAAATTAAAATGTGCACACACAAGTGCCAACCCTGGCACCAGCGTTTCAAGTGGAGCTCATCTTTGCCTGATAGTGACTACTGCTTTGTGCTTAAAGTCATGCTTTAACCCTGCTGGAACACAGAGCAGTCTTTTTTGTGGTAGAGAAACAGTTTGACTCCTGTCTGGTGTTTCAGACCACAAAGGATATGGGTTGAGTAGCACTGAAAACTTTGTCACAGTGCTGAAGTTTACACACAGTCCCGTCACTGTAGAGAGTAAGGACTTGAATAACAAGTCTCATGCACACTGTTGATGTTCCTTCAGCCTTACCCTGTTAACAGCCAGTCCTATTGTGCATCCTGTAACTGAGTGCAACTTTTCAGGCGATCCTCAAAGAATCGGCGCAAGGCAGAGCGTAAGAAATACAGCTTGAAGGAGGGGAGTCCTTTTGAAGATATTGCCCTTCTGGAAGTCCTGGGAGAAAATGTTCGTGCTGTTGAGTCTGCGAAGGGTAGGACACTTGGTGGTCTTAATCCTCTCTGCTTGTGAGGACAGCTGAGGCACTGTGCCCCCTCCTTTTCTTATTGTGTGTGTTGGAAGGAAAAGTTGCCTGGTCCGTACAACTACCTGTGTTGAACTTTGGTATAGTTCCTCTGGCTCTGTGGTTGGAAGAACATGTGATAGTGTGAGCTCCCTGCATTTGAAATTTGGGAGCAGAGAAGCAAGGCCTTGTCTGTTTCGCTATAGGTTTGTCTTACTTTTGTACTCCAGCACTGTGGGGGCTGGATAGGGACAGAATGAGCTCTGAGTTGCCACTCTCCTTCCTATGCACTGATAGCAAAGAAATGCAGCTGTTTATTTAGCATACTTGCGTTAATTGCTATTGCTTGTGCTTCTCTTCCCTCCTGCAGGAGATATACACATCCTTCTGAAGCAGCTTGTGCTCTTTGGTTATGATGAACAAGCTGGGGCACTGCAGCAAGTCCTGGAAGAGGTTTTGCAGTTGATGGAGACCTCAGTCCCAGAAATCTGGACTCCAGACCTGCAACAGAGCTCTGTCGACCTGGTCTGTGCTCATCCACAATACCTATCACACCTGCTATACAATACCAAGTGTTTACCAGTATTTTGTATTACTCAGCAAGAGCCCAGAATCCTTCCCTGGCTTTCAAAATCTGGTTTGCTTTTTTTTTTCTGTAGAGGTTCAGTAGACATTCTGTGCAATATCTGCCAAGTCAGTACACACTAGGTGTGTACAACAGGTATAGCCTACTGTGTCCTTGCACTGAATGCCACTTTGGACATCCTGAGGCTTGTGTTACCTTGTCCTAGTGGTGACTTCTTTTTGTAAACTTTATTTTAAGCCATTTGTAGAACATGGGAACACTGTTTTCTCTTTTAGGCCTAATGGTAGAAGTGTTAACATAGCTTTTATGTACAAGAGTAGTGGTTGTTCAACCTGGTGTTGTGAAGTGAAAAGCTACCAGACCAGTCAGTTTAGTCTGAACCAGTATATCATAAGGAGTATATTGCAAAAAGAAGGCTTATGTCAGGTTTCTAAGCTTCAGCTTAATGCAGAATAAGGAAATCACTAGGACTGTAGTTAGTTCCCTTCCAGAGTAAAAGTCTTTATTTCTAATAAGTGATTTCTGAGCATTCACAGTGAACACAAGATGTTCCCCAACATCTTCTCCATAACTGCTGATCAGCAGGACTCGTAAAGACAGATTAACACTTTTCTGTATGACAGGGAATTGAGACTCCCAAAAGAACTTTAAATATTGATGGTGCTGTAATGAAATTAGTACTGCCAAGTCATGACATTTACAGGGCTGTGAAGCAGTCGGTGCTGGGATAAGGGTTCTGTGTCCTTCAGAGCTGTGCGAAAGCAGTTTTCTTTCTTCCTCTATGGTAACTTTTCTGAGATATTACTGGACTTGATCACACATTCCTGGTTACATTGTACTCTGAGATCTCCTGCAGGCAGGTGCTTCTGCTTTTGGACACTAACAGCAGAATTTCCTTTGAGGGTATCCCTGCTTTTAGCCTTGCTTAGTTCAGGTTGGAACATGGCTATTGCTTCTTATTGCAGGTCTTGGGACCCAATTCAACTGCAAACAGCATTATGGCTGCCTACCAGCAGAAGAGGATGATGCCTTCTGTTGTACAAGGTTAGTTGAGGCTCTGAGTTAGGTGTGGATGTGAAATGTCAGTGAGGTTAGTGGGCTTTGAGGCTCTCCAACCATTGCTACCTGCCAGCAGTTGTACCAGTTATTCAGCTGTAGGCGTTTCTTGCTTTTCTTTATGGTGTACTGTCCTGCCTCATGGCAAGTGAGCAGCCATCTTAACAAGGTTTATTTATTCCGAATTCCTGTGCTAAAATTGTCTCAGTTGTGCTCCTGGTTCCTGTGTGTGTAATGTCAGTCTGTTTCAAGGGAATCGAAAATCTGATTTCTTAAGGAATGTGTTAAATAATTCTTCTTGTAACTTACCTGCTGAATTTTTCTATCTGGCTTTGGCAGTCAGGCCAGGGTCTTGACCAGGGCAGGCTACAGCCTGTCATGTCACTTTGCTGTCTTGAAGTTCTTGCAGTTAATGCAAAATTAGGGCTGAGAGACCTAGCAAGGGTCCCAACTATCCTGTCTTCCCTCTTCCCCACTAGTCCTACAGTCTCTTCCCCTGCTAGTCCTGGAATTGCCTGGGGAAATCCTCTAATGAACCTCTAGATGTGACTTGCCTGTTGCCACTTGCCAGGGCTGGCTCCAGAAAAAACCTTGTGGCTCTTATTCACGCCAGAGAGAGCTGGCTGTTGTGTGTGATTGCCCAGTGACAGGTGAATGAATGGAGTTCTGCTTTGTGACACTGCTCGTTGCTTCTTCTTTCTGAACAGTAGCAATAACTGAGAGGGGATTGATGTGCCCCAGAGACTTTCTTGTGTAAGCAGCTCTGCTGGTGGCACTCCTCTGTGCAGGCTGGTGATCAGTCACTAAAGGGAAATGATAGATCTTGAGCGATTTCTCGGTGTCCTTTGAGGTAAAGAAAAGTGAAATAAGTAGTTGACAGCTCTTGAAGAACCTGTATTGCTGTTACCCCCCGTTCTGACACTTGTTCCATTTGCCTTTCAGATCCAGACGTACTTACTCCACCAAAATTCAGTAAAAATCTACAGTGGAAACTGCATCTTCTGCAGTAACTAAAAGCCAAGGAATACCTGTGAACTCTGAACTGTAATTTTTCATATAAGTTCATTATATCTTTACAGAAACTGTTGTTGTCCTGGCTTGTTGTTGTCCTGTCCTGTTCTTAGGGCTGTGCAAGTGAAGGGTCCCTCCACCTGATGCGGCTGTGACTGTGACATCTATGGTGTCACACTCATGGGGACAGCCACTCACATCTCACTGCAGAGGTGGTTTGTGAAGCTGGGGAGCAAAAGGGTGTGCTGCTGGCTGAATCCAACATCTCCTACCACTGTTCCCTCCCTTCTGGATGAAGCAATCCCACCAGAATGGGCTGTTTTCTCTGCCATCACTCCCTCCCATGGATGGGAGTACATGCCGTGATGACAGGCCACATTTTAAGCACTTCAGCCTGCTGTAGATCTCACCAGTAAGTCTGTACCAATAGCAAACTGTTGTAGTTGCTATACAAATTAACTGTTTTCTCTGCTGAAGCTGGATGTTGCTAATACCAGTTTTTCATCAATATTGCTTTGTTACATCAGAGTGAACCCTGCAGTGCCAACAGCCATTGCTGTCCTGAAACGGTGCTCGTTCACACCAGGGAAATCTTAGGCAGAGGAAAACATGAATAAAAGCAGGGCAAGAGGTGTCAGTGTCATGCTCTGATGGGTAATACTACCTCATAATTACCTAACTAATTATCTGAGTTTAAAGAAGAAGATGGACTAATGCTGCTGTATGGCACTGACAGATCAGCAGCTGTACCCTGATAATGCTGTGCACCATTGCAGAACTGTGTCATCTGGAAACTGGTCTCGTACCTGAGAGTTAGGTTTCACCCAAGAATACTTCTGTAATCTGATGCAAGCAGTAACAGCAGCAATTCTGGGAGCAGAGGAAGAGGGCAAGGCTGGAAAACCTTTCAGTGGTAGCAGCCCCCTCTGAGTTACTTTTGGCCCAACAGCTGCTGTGTTCAATGCAGGCCGTTTCAGGTGCTATGGAAAAATGCCAGCAAAACCAAGGCACTTCGTTGTCTGCTGGAGGTATTTAATGACAAAGTAGTGACCTGTGTTCTTACTGCACGCCATTAGCACATCCAGTGCTGCAGATCAGTGGGTTTGTGCCTTGTGTCAGGATGGCCATTTGGTCTTGTGCCCTGTGTGTTGTGCTGGCTTGGGCTTGTTCGAGTGGAGTGGTAAAACACTCCTTTGTCAGGCTGAAGCATTGGAGTGCCTCTTGTTTCCAGCTGTTCTGAGTTATGTGGCCTGTCTGGGTGGTGTGGGGATGACTTCAGGCTGTTGTCAAGTACTGTGACTACACATTTAGTAACTTTACGAGATAACGTGTGACATCTAAGCTAGCATAATCTCAGTGATGCTACATGTAACATAACCTTCATGGATGGGGAGATGCATGCAAAGTGCCATGGCCCCTTTCCACCACAAGACCTGAGGTTTTTCCATAAGAGTACATGGATAAATAGGACTGGTGGGCAACAAGGACAGCAGAAATTCTTCAAACTTCATCTCATCATCTCTCTCCTTATCAATAATTGGACACTGACACCAGAACAGCATGGCATAGTCCTCCAGCTGAATCTTCACCTGCAAAATACACTCCAAAGTATCTTGGGCACAGTTTCAGTCCACCACTGCCATGTCTTACTGGCTGATGAGTGTTAAGGCTATGTTGCTATTCTGAAGTTCTCTTTCCAACAATGATGTCTTTTTGGTTGCTCTCTTTGGTTGGTAAGCTCTGTATGGGCTTACCAGCTGTGCATGAGAGGATGTGGGAAGGCCATAGCTTCCCTGCAAAGCCACATGAAGTAACCTGTGCCAATGTCTACAAATGCTGCTTTTGTTTCCCTCATGGCCCTGAGGCTGCCCTGAGTCACAGACATGAGCTGACCCTTGTGGCTCCAGCTGCATTTAACTGTGAATCTTGTGGCTTTCCCTTCTGGCCTGTGTCTGCCATGAGGAGGATCATGGTTCTCAAGCATTTGCAACTGGTCTTGGTCCAAAATAGTTCCCATTGCAAAACATCAGCACTACTTCATCTCTGGGGCCAGTTGAAGCCCTAGTTTGTATAAAGAGTGAATCCACAGACTGGCAGTGCTTTTGTTATTGTTTCTTACTCTCTTTAAGTTTTGCTTTCTAAATTAAGGCATATTATTAATAATGTCAGCAAAAGTTTAAGTGTGACTGGTGTTTAAAATTAGGCCAGAGCCAACCCCTCACACTTACTGTACCCCATTCTGGTGAAAGATGAATGGTTTAAGAAGAGATCTTGCAGAGTGATTCATAAGAGAACAATAAATATTTTAAAGACCCAGAAAAGTGGGAAACAGCAAGGTGTTGCAGAATAGTTTGAAACAAGTAAAGAGATATCACAAACAGAGATCTTGAATTAGATACTGGACACTGCACTTGGCAATGTTCAGTAAGTTTTACTGAACTTAGCTAAATCAGCTAAAAATGGTTCCTTTAGATGAACTTAGCTCATTATAATGTGAAAGCCACGCCTCTAAAGCTTAGGTTACCCACGTCCAAATGAAAACGGCTACCTACTGAACATGCACAATAAATTTGAAATGCTTTGTACCTTTAAGTTGAAGCAGGCAAAAGATTGTCCAATAGCTATCAAGTGGGCATGCATTTAGAAATTGGGTAACTCCAGGCTTTGGTATTTTGAAAATACAAACACACTGCTTGGCTGTAACTGGGTCTGCTGGCTCTGCGGATTCACCACCCAGCACCCATCTCTGCGCTGGCATGAAATAAACTCGGTTCCTTGCACACCAGGTGAAAGAACCCATTTCTGGGGACAGTTCCATGACAGGAATGTCTTTGTTCTTTTCCAGCAGCAACAAGTTTACTATTTGCCCATTGGAGTGTGTATAGCAACATGCAGCTGCATGGGGGGACGGAAGAAGAGGACACCCTCTTCCCGCAAAATGCGTTATCAAGAGTTAGAAGCAGCATTTTACTTGTGTAGCAAAACCTCTGCGTGCTCTTTTACTGAAAGCCATTTCACCCAGAAGGCATCTTACTTAACAAGTCAGAGCTGGGCTTAGGATGAAATTGAACTGTACACACCAGTTCTGGACCCAGAAACAGATTTTTATTAGTACTGCTCTGCTGCCTCTCTGCAAATTCACATCTTGAAAATAATCAAATGATTAGAGGCTCACCAGAATTCCGATAGGGAGAAACAGAGCAGGATTAAACCACACAATTTCTGTACCAAACTCAACGTATGCAGAAAAGCAACTGCAAACCTTGATAGTTTATTACTCTGGGGAGCAGTAAAGCTGATCATTTCCTATTATGCATGTATTTTTATATAAAAATGCTTAAATACATATTTGTACAAGAAAGACATTGTCTGCCCCACTTAAAGCCTGAGCAGTGGCTATCCTGCACCCTGGTGAGGGGCAAGGCCTGCTCCATAGCTGAGGGGAAGTTCAGCAGCACTGAAATGTCAAGCCATTCAGTGGCACAGCCAAGTGTGGGTGCTATAGCTGATGCTCCTTCCCCTACACTGACAGCAAATTCTGTCAGTCACACCAGCACCTGCAACATTATTGCTTAGGAGAAACTTCAGTGATAGGCAGCAGACATGACTAGAAAGACCTCTAAATCCTTTTCTCTGCATTCTCAGTAGAAACCTAGATCTGAGCTCAGTTCAGCTTCTGAATTAGAATAAATCCTTTAATTGAAACAGAACACTTCTTCCAGACTTTTTGGCTCACATACAGATTAGTGTGGCTGTACCACAGCAAAGCTGCAAACACACCTTCAATTTCAGAAATCACTTTATGTTTTTATTTGGTTGAAGGGGGGGGGGGTGTTTTTTTGTCTTAGCTATTACAAAGTCAGTATGCTGCTGTTTCCAGGCTACTTTTCCCAAAATTACATTTATCATTCCAGTTAACAAACACACATTTCCACTTACATTTTGCAGTCTTTGTTTTGGCCTGAAATCCAAAGGCAGGTTGAGACACCATTTTCTGCAAAGTCATTTTGGCCAATGTTTCCTGAGATGTTCCTTTAACTGTGGGATTGTGGACAGCTGTTGTTTACAACGATGGCATCTGAGGGGCAGTTTGAGAAGTTCAGACACACGATCTTTCACCATCACTTTTCCCTTGCTTCTTACCATCTCTATCACATCTGGGGGGAAAATAAAGAAACCAGAGGTACTGAGACCACATAACGTCATGAAACACGTGACACTGCAAATCTTTGTGCACTGCTTTGCATGCACAGCATGTCATCGCTGCATTCTAATTTAAACCAGCCACAAAATGCACTATTACCTACTGCTACTCCCCAGTATCTGAAATCAAATAAAACCTTTCGCTTTCTGCAACAAAATGCATGGCTTACGTATTTGTTTGGAAAAAAAGCCCAAAGCCAGAAGCTGCAAGTAGGATTACATGTTATGAAATACCTTTTCTAATATTACCTTGAGAGTTTAAGAAATAGTCGGTAGTAAAAGAGTTCCAGTGCTTTTTGGTTTTCAGGGCCACAGAATCAAAATCCTGGCTGATTACATGCAAATGTAGCTGACTGAAAAAAAAAAAAACAGATATGAGAGAAGAATGTTAACGCTTCAAGTCCTTTTGCAGTAGTATCAGTTGCAAACTGATGATTCAGCAGAGCTTTGTGGGTCAGTCTTGGCCCTCAGTCCCGGGACAGAAGAAACACAGTCTGTTCTGGAAGCACCATCTCTTGCCAAGCATTTCACTTAAACAGTCAAGGTCACTAGCCTGCATATTCCATTGGCCCCTCACTACAGTCTATATTCCTACTAGTTTCCAGAAAGGCAGAGAGTAGTTTTAATAAACCAAAGATTTAAACTTCGTAGAGTAACTGAATGGGACTTGATCAGTGACCAAAAGGTCCACTCAAGAACCAGAGAACAACTTAGGAGCACTGACTGCAATATTTACAGGCATTTGGATGCTCTGGGATCTGGACTTACACACAAAACTCAAATCCTTGCGTGGTATCAGGCAGGACTTGACAGGCCCAAGAGTCAGTCTCATGCCACACTGGTGCCCTGGGATGGGGATGCCCTCGCACTTGGCACTGGGAGCTGGCTGGGGCTGGACCACAGGCATTCCACAGCCCCAGCCCTCTGCCAGGGGAATCCAACAGGCATCTCCCACTGGACACAAGACACTGTGTAGCCCATCGGCATGTATGCAGCAGTGTGCTGCACAGGACCTGGACACCAAGCTGTTTGTGGTGCTCAGGAGGATCAGCTGTTCTCTAGCCATGTCAAATCACCTCACAGATTGAGCCCCAAGTCTGTGTAACTGGAAGAACAGGGCCTCCACCTGATGACTCCTGCAGGTCTTACCTCATACTGGGGATAGCATGGTAACCCAGTCTGAACTCCAGGCTCTCTCTGGCAGGGCACTGTTCAATCATTTTTTGCCCAACTGCATGCATATGTTCCAGGAGTTCAAGATGGTCCCTGGTGACTGACTTCAGGCTGGAAATGGGGTCCCATGGTAAGATAAGCCAATGGTAACGTGCTTTGGGATATTTATCCTTGATAACCACAGTCTTTTCATCTTTGTAAACCTTGCAAAAAAAAACCAACTAGATTACTTTCTGATTGAAAGTTAACTATATTAATCCTATAAGCACTATATTTAGTGGGTTTTGAGATGTTAACCAAAGAGAACTTTTGCTGGAACTAAGTTGCTTCAGGATAAGTGCCCTCTTCCATAATATGCATTATGGAGTGGTGTTGCAGCATCCCTCTTCACATACTTTATAGAAGGAAAAAGCTTTCTATTCTTATATTTTATGCTTATATCTTGGGTCAAAAAAGCACTTTTTTGGTAAGCGCTGTATGAAATTCCACTTCAGGGATGACAATTAAGCTTCATGTTTAAAAAGTAAGTAAGAACTTCAGTAACTTTATCATTCCCTACAGACAGACTCATTTGAAAGTGCTGGCAATTCCAGGACAATAAGCATCCAGTTCCACAACTGTATGCACTTCAACACTCCAGACTCAAATAAAAATAATAATAAATCAGTCAAGATATAGGGCCTTCTGATAAGTTATCAGCTAAGTAAGCAACTGGCTCACAGGTTGGGCATAAAGAGTTATAGTGAGAGCAGTGACATCAGGCTGGTGACCTGTGACTAGTGGGGTTCCACAGGGTTCCATCTTAGGCACTGTGCTCTTCAACATGTTCATAAATTACTTGGGTGCAGGACTTGAAGGAATACTAAGTAAGTTTGCTGATGACACTAAACTGGGAAAAGCTGTCGACTCCCTCCAGGGCAGAGAGACCCTGCAGAGAGACCTTGACAAATTCAGAGAGATGGGCAATCACCAACTGTATGAAGTTTAACAAGGGCAAGTGCCTGATTCTGCACCTGGGACAGATAACTCTGCTTATCTGCACAAGATTAAAAGAAATTACCCAGAAAAATTCCTGTTGGCACAAAGAAACCAGGTGGAGGAGGAGCCAGAGGTCAGATCCTGTCCCCTGGCACAAAGGTATCAAAGTTAAGTTTGCTGGAAACCAGGAAACTGCACTATGCTTAGAAACAAGGCAGTGCTGACTACAGGAAAACGGGAACCTCCATGACTTGCTTCAAGCCACAACCCCATTTTAGTTGGTTTCCCTGAGGAAACAAAGCAACTGCATGGCTCACCTGCTCTTCCACCAACCTTTTTGAAATCTGTTGGCCAAATCTGATAGTATAGAGAGCTCAAAGATAATTAAGATAATGACACTGTAAAATCAGTAATCTGCAATCTGCAAAATCATCCCCAATTAATTTTATTACAGAAAGAGATGCAAGTACAATTCAGCCCTCATGCAACACTCCACTGGTT